GCCCTGGGTTGGTACCCCGGGAACCGGGCTTAACAGCCCACGCTCAGTAGTCCTGGTTGGGCCAGTGGAAGCAATCTGGATCTGCTCCTTTTTCTTCTTTTATGTGCAGATATTAAAGGGGTGAGTGCAGATGGAGTATCCGCAGAAAAGGTCAGAACAGCAGATGAATATCAGGAGGGAGGAAAAAATCCCACTCACCTCCCCCCCCCTTGCAATCTAAAAAGAACTGGCAGGAAAGGGAAGGGAGTGGGGAGGGAGAAGGAAAAAGGCAAACTGAGGCACAAGTGGTTAAAGTGACTCAGCTCCAAGTAAGCCCACCAACATTTAAATCCATGTCTTCTTCTATTTTTAACTTACATTTCCTCAATGGAGTTTAGGACACGTGGTCCGGTCCTGTCCTTGCGTTTTGACCTACATTTCACACTTACAACTCTGCAGGTGACGCGAGTTGTCTGAACAGTCAACTCGACAGGCTTGTTCTGGAGATAAAAACGTATTGGGCTGCCTTAAGAGTGTTAAAATTCACTTTTTAAGGAAATGTTCCTGGGTGAGGTGAAATTCTACAGAATTATTCTCTTTTTTAAAGGAAGGACAGATGCTACAGCATAAGAGAACAAGTGGACTTTTAAATGTCCCCCGGAATTGGCCATTTTATTCACTGAACAAAATTTCAATCCCCCCAGTCCTGACCGACACTGGGTGGCATGCGACATAATAAATCAGGCAAGCAGTAAAATAAAACCGGCACATCGTTTTATGCGGGTAAATAATTTTACATGCATAATGGTGTAGTCAGCTACCAAAGACTAACTTAGACTTTTGCAAATCCATGCTTGGTCCAGGAAATGAATCACATGATATCTAAACGCACCATTGATCTTCCTGTGTTGCCAACTTATTGGAAACCATTGAAATGGGATCAGGGAGTGTAATTATCTGAGAGAGGGGGAGAGAGAGTCTGTTTCTCTGAAATTGATCGACGATTCAGAGAAGGGCACCAACAGCATTCTCCGACCACAAAATTCTCCCTGGCTCGCATCGTTGTGCTTCTCTGAACCGGCATAAGAGCAAACAGAACAGGATGCAACGTGAGTTCATCCTTTTTCCTGCCCCCCCTCCCCAAATTGAGAATAAATCCGAGGATTGCTCCAGCAGGCTCCTATTGTTTCGTCTCCAGCAATTGTCTGATTAGGGACTTCGTTTTTCTGAATCTGTACATTTTGTAAGTAATGTGTTTGTTCTGATATTCTCCGATCTTTTTCCACATCAGACGTCTGGGTAATGTGGAATAAGCATTAACAAATGGCTCCACCATCTCTTTCATCGCAGAAGCATCATTTGGTTGCATCCCAAACAGAAGTAATTGGGGGGGGGGTCCCCATTCCTTATGCAACTGCTACACCAGCAATTTATCTGACTTTTCAAAACATTTCTGTTTAACAACATTCAACTTCTTGTCTTGTTCACTTGCATTATTCCCCCCCCCTCGCCCTTTATTTGAT